GGTTATTATGTCTTTCCTCTCGCTCTTTTTTACCATGGTAACATGGTTATTATTACAGGGCTCTCCTTAGCTCACTATACTGTAGCAGTGTCAGTTTCTAGTGGACCATGGTTATGACACGGTTGTCTCTAGTTCACAATACTATAGCAATGTCAGTTTCTAGTTGACTGGCTATCCCATGGTGATCATCTGATCTCTAGCTGACCAGGGTAATCATGGTTAAAATTGAGTCTCAATTTCACCGTGGTTGCTGTGCGATCTCCATCGATACACATGGTTATTATGTGCCACCTGCCTTGTCGGGCATGGTTAAAGTTTTGACCTCGGTGGTTTGACGTGACCTTCAACATAGTTAAAACTTAAGACTTAAAATGTGATCTCTCAGTGACCCTGGCTGGTTACAACGTGACCTCTAGTTTTTACCATAGTGGTTTTGCGGTTCTACTTGACTGTGGTTAGCATCTGGTCTGTTGGTGACCATGGTAAAAAAGCTGTTAGCATCTGGTCTGTTGGTGACCACGGTAAAAAAACTGTTTAAACACATGTATTTCTTTTTCTTGTTCTTCCTCTCTCCTTCTACCTTCTAATCTGCTGCGTCTCTTTTCACGTCTGGAGCTCAGCAGCCTTGCATTGTCTCAAAATTGAGTCCGGTAACCCCAGTTCAAGCATTCGTACTTCTTCTTCTTCTTCTTCTTCTTCGTTCATCGTCGTCGTCTTCTTCGTCTTCGTCTTCGTCTTCATCTTCGTCTTCGTCTTCGTCTTTGTTTTGTCTTCGTCTCTCTTTCTACCTTCTAATCTGCTCTCTCTTTTCACTTTTGGAGTTCATTGTCTCAAACTTGAGTTTTGCATTTGAAGATAAGTGCGATCATAGCAGTTTTCTTTTGCTTCTGTTTTTTTCCCCAACACACGAAGCTTATGTGTGAGTGAGGCCAGTGTTGTGGTCTCTTTGGCAGACGGGCGCAAACGCCTTTCCATATCACAAACAAAAGGGTCCTCTTTTCCCTTTTCCCTAGGGATTCTGAGAGAAGGCGATAATCAATTCTTGAGCATGCTGCCGCACATACTCTGGTTAATTTTCTTTTGAGAGGTAGTACTCTAGTAGGAGGTATATTCTCCTGCGCTGGGCTGTGAACTCGATAATCAATCCCTATGACTACATACACTATATTATGGGAGTTGCCCCCCTCCCTCCCTCCTTCCCTTCAAAAAACAACAATAACAACCATATGTGTTTTTCTCTAGTCCATTAATTAGCTAAGCTTCAGATTTATTCTGACTTGTTTTTTTTTGAATTGTGGCAGGGGTACACTACTGGACTGCTGGGCAATATGCTGCTACTCACATATTTTTCCGAAAAGAAGGAGATGTCTGCCACCATAGTGCAAGTTGTAGGGGTTGTTTCTACTTTCGTGTTGCTTTCACAGGTTCGGTCTCAAGACCCCTTTGTCCTGTTGACTCCTACCTTTTTGTTATGCTAGTAGCCAAGCGGATTATTACAATTGTTTATGACAATGGATTCAATAATACTGAAGCTTTTTGGCAACTTTTGGCGCAGTGCCACGTAATCTGGGTGTAATTCTGGTCACAAACCTACTGGAAAGTCCGTAGTGTGAGTATGCCGTCAGTTGATAAGTCTGCGCAGGACAAGTCTCATGGGGTCGTAGCTTTTGGCGGAGCTGAAGTTCAGGGGTAAGACCGTAAAAAGTACTAAAAAGTTAAGAACTAAAAACTTAGAAAGTCGGTCCTAGGGCCTTTATTAGACCGGTTCTGAAGAGTCCTTAGGTCAGTAAGCCTCGGGTCAGAGGTCAAATCGAGGCGCATCCAGGCCCCTCCAGAGGTCAAATCAAGGCCCTAGGAAAGTCAACAGTCGTACCATACTGGGTATGGCAGTCCAAGGGTCAAAGAAGGGGTCAGAGGTCAAAGCGAGGCACATCCAGGCCCTCTATAGATTGATGCGCACGCGCTGGCTGGAGGTAAATATATGTGTATATACTATATAGATAATACTAAAATAGATATATACACATGCACAGTGGCTGTTGGCAGATCGATATATCTTGTGATATATAGCAGTTTTTTGAGTTAATCCTCCAGGCCCTAATGAGCTTATCCTTCTTTTATGAGTAATCTCTGCCAGAGGGTTAGTTTGATCCATAAACTGACAAAGAGGATGAGATCCAAAAAATTCTCAGTGAGGGGATTCTGCAGACTGTTGAGGGTTCAGCCTCCTGATGAGTCGGTGAAACTCCGACGAAACAGTTTGTCACAGCCCCTCGTTTGTTGTCTTTTTCTCTCTCTGCCTACGGTTTTACCGTGCAGTTCTGTTTGTGACGGAGCGGCAGTGGTCGGGGCCGTTACTACGCGGCCATGCTGTGCCTCTAGTGCCAGCGGTGTGTCTGGAGTGTATTTTTTGGCTGTGACAGACCTTTCTTTGTTTCGTGGATGTTTTGCTGGCTTGTGATGGGGTGTGAACCGACAGTCTGTAGAGTTTTCCATCTGG